ACCTGGAGGTTCCCCTGTGGCCCACACCTAGCGAAAATGACATTGTTCATCTCCCTAGAGGTAAGCATTGAAGGCAGCCTGAGATTGCTCATTTTCTACGTGGTCTACTTTGGCTTTTTTCTCATTTTTAAAATTTCCTATGAGTAACTTTTTAAATGACTTGCTGAAGTAAATTCATATAACTACTCCCGGGTAGACCTGCTTGGCTGAAATATATTTACACCACACATTGATAAAATAAGTCAGCAGTAACTGGATTAAATGCCTCCTTCCTGGTCCTCTATGCTCAGGGACTTTGTGATGATGGCAATAAATATGTTCCTAGTCATAAGAGCGTGGCATCTAGCACTTCTAGCAATCTCTCAAACGTGTGTATATATAAACTTTATAAGGAGAGTAATCATGAATTAGTCACTGCCTCGTGCAGATTCTGCACTGAGCATTTATACATTAGGTTACCCTCTCCTTCTGGGCAGTTTTCACTTTATGCGAGTTTAATACGTGTGTTGATTTTTCCAGTCACCAGGTTTATTCCATGCCTTTTTTTCTTGCTCAATCCTTTCAGTTTGTGTGTAATAAAAATGTTATTTTTGTCTCCCATAGCAGTTGACATTTCCTGTTCTGTGAAAGTAGACCTCTTCTTGATCAATAGTATAAAGTTGCTCTTAGCTGTGACTCAGTACTGCCTCCTGTCCACTCCAAGCACATTGTCCAGATCATTGTGATACAATGTTTATCATTCTTTTGGAAGAAGCAGCATTCATTGCTTGAGAGATGAATTGTTAGATATTCTAAATGTTATGCTTGGATCAAGCCAGTTGACCAGAAAGCCAAATTCCTGGACCTAGTGTTCTTGGCTCTTTGTATAATTGTTCTGACTCAACGTGCTTTAGCATTATGCTTACATTCATTCAGTCAGCAAATATTAGTGCCTGCTGTGTGCCAGGCCCTGTTCTAGATGCTAGACTTCAGTCACAAGAATAGTCAGTTTACAGTATGTTGAAGACCTGTTCATTGCACATATCTGTTATAGAGCCCCAGAAGAGAAATTTTCTCATGTGTCAATAGCAAGAAAATGTATGCGTCCAGGCAACTTTAGGGCCCCTATTCTTATGTATTTAACCTTATTTCTGTCTCCAACATTCACTGTAAGAGAGATATTTTAAAAGAACATAAAGGTCATCATTCATAAGTGTAAAATTAAATGTAATCACCTATGCAGTATAATTCATTAAGGCAGGAAAATGATCTAATAGGCCTAAACAAGATTTTCAACGAATTTATGAAAAGTAAGACAATATTGCATAGAGTTCAGTGAACCAGAATATCAACCAAAAGACCAGCCTCCTGATTCTGATTAGTTTTTGATCTAATTACTCTTCACTATTACACTAGTAGGTAAAAGAATATACTTTGTTCTGGTCTCCTGTTTGCCAGTAAGCAAGGAGATCAGCTAATGTTTCTCCTTCCGGATCTTAGAAGACCATATATGTTAACAGTAATCTAAACATTTTAATGGTCTAATTTTAGTCACTTTTTCAAAATCTACCTAAGTGCCTTCTTATTTTCTTGATGAGCTAGAGCCAGCATCATCTTATCCAATTATTAACATTTTCACTCTGATTTTTTTTTTTAACATTCATCCCTAAGCGCTCTGCCCTTCTACTAAGGTCTCTTTGGATCACCATTAGACTTTAATCATATTTTTCGCCTCAGAGTACTGAGAAGCCATAAAACCAAGTTGCTGATCTCTGTTTGCAGTGTAATTAAAATAATCCTTAAAAATTCTGGCTTAGACAATAAATGCTTGTAATTTTTTTTCTCCTAGATATGGGTCACATCCAGGTAGATTACAGAGATAACGGACTACACCCAAGTGAAGATTCTTCGCTGGACTCAATTGCCTCAGTTGTGGTTCCCATAATTATATGCCTCTCTATTTTAATAGCATTCCTATTCATCAATCAGAAGAAACAGTGGATACCACTGCTTTGCTGGTATCGAACACCAACTAAGGTATTGTCTTGTAAAAGTTAATCCCTTGAATCATGAATCTAGGGAAACTTACACTGATAATGAAATTGCCTGAAACCTTGTGTCTTAACCGGTGACAGTTTTACTTTGCTATTCATAGCCTCAAATCGACACCAGGCTATATAGTATGAGTCAAATATATAGTACTAGCCCGGGGCTGGACTCATCACAAGGTGAATTATCCATTATCCATTGGTTAATGAATCCTGCCCTTACATGGATCCAATTTTCTGGATGTACTCTAAAGTTTTCAAATGAATGAACACCTCTGGATTTATTCCTAAATCGTTGTTTATATTAGACATTAAAACTTGATCACCTGGTATTTCTCAGTCATCAGACAACTTAAAATTGGGAGAGAAAAGAAATCACAAAGGGCGGGAGATAATATTCAGGAGAAGGCTGGGAGATCACGAGGATATACAAAAGGCAAAAGGACAGGTGAATGCATCAAAGGCAAGCATCAAGTGGAAAGGTCACAAAAGATGAAGAGATGGTGGAAAGTAATAGACAAGGTAGGGAGAGGCAGATTTCATATTGAGAGAGAAAAGATACATGTTTGTTTTTAGTACAAAAATAAAGGGCCTCTAAATATGCCTATTTTGAAAGATAAGAACTGTATTAAGGGAAATAAATCATAATCCTTTCCAACTCTAATGCTACCTTTTGCCTTTAGTTGGTTTAATCATACAACCTTAAGAATTGGAAACAGCCTGAACAATTATGTAATATAATTTACCATCTGGTTAACCCTTCCATGTGAAAATTCTGTCCTGCGGTTATCCTGCCTTCTATTTTTCTGTGAACAAATGTGCCTTGGGCACAGCCTCTATGCTGGGCACATGCTGGGTCTGGATAGTTACCAGTGTCCAAAGCTGGGCAACAGACCCACTCAGTAAGTGTATGGAATGATTAGAAACACACAGCCTGGCCCAGCCTATGAGGGTGTTCTGTCCCTTTGTGTTTAAAATCTGCCTACCTGCCACTCATTCAGCCCCTTTAAACACATGTCTGCAATTCAAAGATTTGAAATCATTTTACCAGTCTTTTTTTGTGTCTTCGGTTACTTTATCTCCCTATTTGGCATAATTTCTTGACATTTCACCTTTAGATACAGTTTGTGGGTGTCACTCATAAAAGTATAGTTGATCCTAGAACAGGATGTGATACTCTGCATATAGTCTATCAATGAATGAATTGTGAAACTGTTATCTCACTCGAATTAGGTACTAAATTTCTGTTCATTTGAGATAATGTAAAGCAGCTAATTCTTTGTGGTTTTATTCCTCCTCTCATTAAATAGCCTTCTTCCTTAAGTAATCAGCTAGTATCTGTGGACTGCAAGAAAGGAACCAGAGTCCAGGTGGACAGTTCCCAGAGAATGCTAAGAATTGCAGAACCAGATGCAAGATTCAGTGGCTTCTACAGCATGCAAAAACAGAACCATCTACAGGCAGACAATTTCTACCAAACAGTGTGAAGAAAGGCAACTCGGATGAGGTTTCAAAAGACAGAAGACAACTAAATCTGCTCTTAAAAGTAAACTAGAATTTGTGCACTTGCTTAGTGGATTGTATTGGATTGTGACTTGATGTACAGCGCTAAGACCTTACTGGGATGGGCTCTGTCTACAGCAGTGTGCAGAACAAGCATTCCCACTTTTCCTCAAGATAACTGACCAAGTGTTTTCTTAGAACCAAAGTTTTTAAAGTTGCTAAGATATATTTGCCTGTAAGATAGCTGTAGAGATATTTGGGGTGGGAACAGTGAGTTTGGATGGGGAAATGGGTGGGAGGGTGGTGTTAGGAAGAAAAATTGGTCAGCTTGGCTTGGGGAGAAACCTGCTAACATAAAAGCAGTTCAGTGGCCAGAGGGTATATTGCTCTGAAGACTGCACTGGTTGCTGCAAAGCTCAGGCCTGAATGAGCAGGAAACAAAAAAGGCCTTGCGACCCAGCTGCCATAACCACCTTAGAACTACCAGACGAGCATATCAGAACCTTTTGACAGCCATCCCAGGTCTAAAGCCACAAGTTTCTTTTCTATACAGTCACAACTGCAGTAGGCAGTGAGGAAGCCAGAGAAATGCGATAGCGACATTTCTCGAAAGCGGGTTATTAAGAATATATACAGTTAAACTTTTTGCTGCTTTTATTTTCTTCCAAGCCAATCAGCCAGTTCCTAGCAGAGTCAGCACATGAACAAGATCTAAGTCATTTCTTGATGTGAGCACTGGAGCTTTTCTTACAACAACGTGACAGGAAGGAGGGAGAGGGTGACGAACACCAGGCAAAATCCAGGGGCTATATTTCACTGTTTGTTGTTGCTTTGTTCTGTTATATTGTTGGTTGTTCATAGTTTTTGTTGAAGCTCTAGCTTAAGAAGAAACTTTTTAAAAAAAAGACTGTTTGGGGATTCTTTTTCCTTATTATATACTGATTCTACAAAATAGAAACTACTTCATTTTAATTGTATATTATTCAAGCACCTTTGTTGAAGCTCAAAAAAAAAAGATGCCTCTTTAAACTTTAGCAATTATAGGAGTATTTATGTAACTATCTTATGCTTCAAAAAACAAAAGTATTTGTGTGCATGTGTATATAATATATATATACATATATATTTATACACATACAATTTATGTTTTCCTGTTGAATGTATTTTTATGAGATTTTAACCAGAACAAAGGCAGATAAACAGGCATTCCATATCAATGCTTTTGATCACTTACAAATTTTTTGAATAACACAAAATCTCATTCTACCTGCAGTTTAATTGCAAAAATGTGTGTGTGAGAGTATGTGTGTGTGTGTGTGCATGCACGCCTTGAGCAGTCAGCATTGCACCTGCTATGGAAAAGGGTATTCCTTTATTAAAATCTTCCTCATTTGGATTTGCTTTCAGTTGGTTTTCAATTTGCTCACTGGCCAGAGACATTGATGGCAGTTCTTATCTGCATCACTAATCAGCTCCTGGATTTTTTTTTTTTTTCAAACAATGGTTTGAAACAACTACTGGAATATTGTCCACAATAAGCTGGAAGTTTGTTGTAGTATGCCTCAAATATAACTGACTGTACACTATAGTGTTAACTTTTCAAACAGCCCTTAGCACTTTTATACTAATTAACCCATTTGTGCATTGAGTTTTCTTTTAAAAATGCTTGTTGTGAAAGACACAGATACCCAGTATGCTTAATGTGAAAAGAAAATGTGTTCTGTTTTGTAAAGGAACTTTCAAGTATTGTTGTAAATACTTGGACAGAGGTTGCTGAACTTTAAAAAAAAATTAATTTATTATTATAATGACCTAATTTATTAATCTGAAGATTAACCATTTTTTTGTCTTAGAATATCAAAAAGAAAAAGAAAAAGGTGTTCTAGCTGTTTGCATCAAAGGAAAAAAAGATTTATTATCAAGGGGCAATATTTTTATCTTTTTCCAAAATAAATTTGCTAATATGTTACCAAAATAGATTGACATCAGCCTGATTAGTATAAATTTTGTTGGTAATTAATCCATTCCTGGCATAAAAAGTCTCTATCAAAAAAATTGTAGATGCTTGCTTTTTGTTTTTTCAATCATGGCCATATTATGAAAATACTAACAGGATATAGGACAAGGTGTAAATTTTTTTTATTATTTTAAAGATATGATTTATCCTGAGTGCTGTATCTATTACTCTTTTACTTTTTGGTTCCTGTTGTACTCTTGTAAAAGAAAAATATAATTTCCTGAAGAATAAAATAGATATATGGCACTTGGAGTGCACCATAGTTCTACAGTTTGTTTTTGTTTTCTTCAAAAAACAAAGCTGTAAGAGAATTATTTGCAACTTCATTCTTGGCAGGAAATAAACATTTTGAGTTGAAATCACACGGTGTAACTTTCAAAAAGATTCCATCTCTGGGATCCCAAAGACAAACTGTCCTTGTAAGGTCATCAGTCCAATGAACCTCTGGTGTCACAAGAAGTCCCCATGCTTTTCTCATTAGGCAGGTCTTTCCCAAGGAATCCTTGCAAAAAGAAAAGTGTCTCTCAGAGTACACAGCATGGGGGTGCTGTTTTTAGGGAGACAAGAAGCCTACATGCTGCCAGAAACATGCTCATAGCTAGTATCAAAACTAACTTGTTATGCACAGGAGGATTGTGGTGGGCAACCCAACAGCAGTTTGATCCTGAAGAAGAAAGACTTTACCAAGCAAAATCAGGGGAAGCCTAACTACAAAGGGATTTTGAGCTGGTAGGAAAAAACAGGGATATTTTCATACACTTTAGAAGCATCAATTTAAGAATGAGCTATAAACAGATCACTGTTGAAACTTTAAAAAAAAAATCCCCAAAAAACTTTCTGCTGTGTTATATATCCCATAAAACTACCTTTCTTCAGTACAAGGCATCATTTTTACAAAGTCACATCAAATTAATTTGTTAATATGACTGTGTAAGTATGTATCTTCAATTCATGGGGAAGGGGCCAGTAAGTTCCACCTAAGAACATTCATAAAACAAGGAAACCATCTCAAGTTTCTCCTACCTGGATCACAGCTGAAATGCCAAGCAGGCATTATACTTCAAACCAAGTTCCTGCCTTTGTAGTCATGGTGTCTCAGTTGCTGAGTGGAGTGAGGAGTACACACAGCCCTGTTTGCTCACAGCTGTTTAAGTGGAATTGGGAAAGCCTCGTGTAGCAGGTCCCAGATAGACTCTTAAGTTCATTCATGTTGTCTGTGGTACAGGGCTGCATGGCTGTTTGGAATGTCTCACAGACCCAGAAAAAGAAAGAGCAGGACTTCTATCAATCATTCCACAGCACCTCGGCATCCTCTAAAAGTCCTCTCTCCCCTCCATAGCATTATGGGACTCATCAGGGTTTCGCCTGCTCACACACTGTAGTGATGAGCTCTGCGTGGAATTAAGGGAAAGAAATCTAGCACTGTAAGAAAAAAAAAATACAAGACAAACTCCCAAATACATAGCTCTCAAACATACACTATTTTTACTTTTTAAAAAATTTATTAAATGCCATTGATTTGATTGGAACTGGCAAAAGCCCTTATGATATTGATGAACCCGTAAGTAGCTGTTTCTAGAATTCAGACTTAAGAAAAACACACAGGCATGAATAAAATATGACAGTCATGGGAATGGGCAGTTCTGCAGGATACACTTTAAGCACCTCAGAGGATACAAACTATTCAAGTACAATTCACAGACATGAAGCAGAACATTGGAACAGCAAAAGTTAATACAAGATTCTAAAAGTGGCAATTTAACGGTTAAAATTTTACCAATGGTGAAACAAGCAGCAAGCTATAAAATCCATCATCACCAACAGTTTCGGTGTTCACTAAGTATTAGCCACTGTAATGCATATTCTGGTTTTGCCTCTTCAAGAACAGCCCAAGTTTATTTCAGTCTCTCTGAACAATACTGGTAGGTAATATTTATACTGACAATTCTCACAAAAATTGGTGCTGGTTCTTGCTATCACTGAATCTGTAGCACAAATCTCCCAAGGCTTTAATCTAGTTCATCAGTGCAGTGTAGATGAGAAAGCCATAAAAACAAATGGGCATACTGTCAGTTAATGAGAAATATAACTGCACATGCACAATTAATATTACTCTCTCTACTAAGAACAGTTCATAATTATTAGTAGATTTAAAAACCATCTCTAGAATTCAAAATAGTGCCCATATTTCCACTGGTTGTATAATATAAAGAATTAGTGAAGCCAAGATCTGTTAATACTGAATCAAACCCAAGTTCAAATGTGCCGAGTTTCCAATAGCAAGAAGGTCATGGTGGCCAGCTTTGAGGATAGTGCTGTAGGAAGTCTAGCTCCGAGTCCCACCGCAGGTAAAGCTGCTGCTCCTGAAGTAATGCTGCTTTATGTAGGACACAGAACTAGAAGAAAAAGAGAACTTTTAGATAAAAATATCTTTTGTATACATGTACACAAAACGTACATTTTACAAGTACATTTAAAAACACTAAGTAATGGGAACTAAACATTAATGCAAAGATCTACAGTAGCAATTTTTCAAAGGTTTTAAGAGGCTATACCCAACAAGGATGAGTTCTCTCAAGACACATTAGAATTGCCTAGAAATGATACCGAAAGGCCATGTCTCTTAGGGTGCCACTTGAAGACAGAAGCCCGTAACATTCACCCTATACCATGAGGCTTATGACACAGCAAACAGGCTCCCTTCTGCACACATTTTTATTCCTGACTAGGATCAGCAGGGCAGCAGGCAGGCTTTGGAATGAGCCTCGGGTACTGTCAAGGCAGCAAGCTGCAGTCAGGCAATTAAGCAGGTGTGAAAGAGGCTCAGCCCATACAGTGCCCACCCCCCTACCTTTGTCAGCCCAAATGAGACCACTTTTCTGCCTTCTTTCACTTCTGACTTTTGCATTAAAACTAAGACGGTGTATTTAGACAGCCAAGCCACACTCTCATCTGTGTTAAAACAACAACAAACTAGCCAAAAAAGGGGAAGGCGCGTTATCCCTTAAGCAATATCCCCCTCCCAGGCAAAGTGTCCAATTACTGGTCCCCAAGGAAAAGGAACAGTTAACCAGCTGTGAACTTTCAGGATGGGTGGAAAAGAGCATTTTCAATGACCCCACTCTAGCACCTTCCCACACACTTAAATAGGTCTCCGTATTACACTCCCGTCTTCCTTTTCTCTGACTACAGCCTCCACTGTAGTCTGAATCCTTGCTTCTTTTCCACCCAGTCCTCACAATACAAAGCCAAGACAAAAACCACAACACATGCACACAGACTCATCAGAAGCAGGTACAGTATAGATAGAACTGGGCTTACAGACAGGAGCCAGCGGCCCGAGCATGAGGAGCAGAATTAGATGGGTGCTGCTTCCCTAAGGCATGCGGTATAGGTAGGTTCACAATTACAGTCCTAGGTTTTCAGAGTAGAGAATTAAAAATCATTTTCCCCCAGAGGACTCTGTTCTTTGGGTCATAACATCCTTCCAAGCAGTTAAATGCTAAAATAGCTAGAGAATGCTTCAGAAGCTCATTCTATCTCTGGCCCTCATAGAGCCCTAGGGACCCGCTAAAATTAAAATTTAAGACATGTTCTTTATGTTCGTCTCATCCCTGTTTCACATCTAGAACAAACCTCAGAACAATCCAGCTTTCATACCAATGCTAGCACAACACAAAAGCAAACAAAGACGTCAGGTATTTAAAAAATTCAGCATTTAATAAGGAGAAAAAGTCCTCCATCAGAAAACAGCTTATTTTTTTAAAATGATGTTAAATCAGTCTGCTGTAGCCCAGTGCTAACCCACTAATGGCTAGCTCATGCTTCTTAATCTTAATGCATCAAGACTCTTACAAGTGAAACGTGTGATTCACTGAGTACTGTGTATACTACCAAGGTTCCCCTTTTCTGATGCTATGGTTTAAGAAAAGTCCATCTGAGATTTCAAATGTCTCAGAAAGCATCTTCCTTGTGCTTAGCTAACTTTAATGGAGAAGAGACAGAACCCAAAGAAGAAAACTTATTAGAAGAGGATTGCTCTCAAAATGTGATCAAACACTACAAGATGCATTTTGTGATGCTTGCAAATTCTGAATAACTGCTACTTTAAAAAAATATTTCATTGAAAAGTATTAATTTTGTCTCTAATTAAGTCCTTCAGTCCCTTCTTTATCAGCCAAATTTTGCTCTTTCCTCAGCAAAGTAACTCAACCTCTAACTCTTCTTTTGCCTCATCAATATTCCCATCCTGTATAAGCCTGCTCTTGCCTCTAAGATTTGTGGCCGCTTTTTCACTGCCCTGAGCTTAGGAAAGTCCATTCATTTTATTTCCTGCTTCCCTCTCTGGGCCTTACATCAGTCCCTTTCGTATTCCCTTTGGCACTGTTCACAGATGTGACTCTTCCTTCATCCATCCTCACTAACGATCTGTCCTTCCTTTGCACTGTCCCCAAGATGACAGACAGAGACCGTCCTTCTCAAATTTCCGTGTCAACCTGCCAGCATCTGATATCCACATGATGATGGCAACATCTCACTAATTTTCTTCTACTGCCTCCCTCAATGTTTATAGTTTAGCTGTGGAGATTATTTCCAGCCCAGAACCTCCAACAAAAGTTAAATTTTTTAAAACCATAATATATCATGTTGGTAGAAGTTAGTCATGTATCTAATCCTCATCCTGCATAATAAGATTAATGAAAGTTGTGCATTGGGAAGTTACTATCTAATCTATTAGCAAGACAATGCATTTATTGACTAATCCAAACTTCCCAGCCATCACACCTATACCATTGTAAAATTCACCTTTCAGAATATAATCAGTTAACAAGCTCGGAACCTTTTCACTGTCCTCCTTCATGGCACGAAGAACTGCAAAACAGAAGGGGGGGAAAAAAGACAACAAAAAATTCAGATCAAAAATATTATTTAATTTCAATCATTGTGGCCTTAATCTTCCTTAATTATAGGATATAACTGACTTATACTAATTATAGGTGATTTTCCTGATAAGGGAATACAACAGTAAAGTCCCAACCATTTATTTTAGTGGAATATGTTCACAAGAATTTATTTTAGGTAAGAATATCTACTTACCTGAGAGTTATTTCCCTGATTTAAAATTTCCAAACAGTGGAGGCAAAAAAAGAGGAATCAGGTTATTTACATGGAGCCTTCGCTCTGTAATAATACTGGAAAGTGGGTTACTGTAATGTGCACCTCAATGAACTCCGTGCAACAAGAGGACCTCATTGCTATAAAACAAGCAAGCTAGAGAAACTCTTAGAGAAATGAACAGTTAGCTATATGCTCCAACAGGCATATCTGTCAAACTCCTTGGAAACTTTCAAAGAAAAGACCCAAATGAAGAACAGACTTCCATGAAGCAGCACGTGGCATCTGCCTGGCTATCTCCTCCTCTGCAGTATGGAGGAACCTGGGTGAATTAGCCTTATCCTAAACGGACACTTTTATCTTCTAAGTAAAAACTAAAAGAGAAAAAACAGCCACCTAGTATAATGTTTTTCTTTTTTAAGCTAGACCATTCAGGTTGAGATAAACTCACAAATATTGTACTTTAACAAAGATTGTCAACTCAAAATTTTTTTTTTTTTTTTTTTTTTTTGAGATGGAGTTTGACTCTTGTCACCCAGGCTGGAATGCAATGGCATGATCTCAGCTTACCACAACCTCCTGCTCCTGGGTTCAAGTGATTCTCCTGTCCCAGCCTCCTGAGTAGCTGGGATTATAGGCATGAGCCACCACCCCCAGATAATTTTGTATTTTTAGTAGAGATGGGGGTTTCCTCCATGTTGGTCAGGTTGGTCTCGAACTCCCGACCTCAGGTGATCCACCCACCTCGGCCTCCCAAAGTGCTGGGATTACAGGTGTGAGCCATTGCACCCAGCCAGCCAACTCAAATTTTCTCCAGAGCATCCTGGTAGAAATATTTCACTGTTTCTCCCCACCCATATGACAAGGCAATATAACATAACTGTCAAGTCAGCCTTCCTAAGTTTAAAACCTGGCTCTGCCTCTTCCTCACTGTGTGACACTGAAAAAGCTGCTTAACCACTTTTGCATAAGCTCTTCATCTGTGAAATGAGAATAATAATTGCATTTAATCTCAAAGGTTTGTTCTGAGGACTAAGCTACTAATTCAGATATAAAGGTCTGGCACATGTATTATAGTGCCTGGCCAGAGTACATGCTATGTAAGTGTTAACTGTAACTAACACTACTAATATTGTTAAAAATTTTATTACTATTATTATTGCACCCAGAATCCCTAACAGCTTTTAAGAGGAAGACTATATATCCATAAACAATGTGACTGTCTCCACAAGGCTCTTCTTTTGGAAAGAAAAGGAGCTTTGGACCCAAATATGTCCAAAGATTCCAAATTGTGTCAACCTACAAAGACAACTTGATGTTGGAATTATGATGGCATTAGTTTGACCAACAAAGTATTTGTTCTTGATCTGAGAAGCTGAGGCTTGCCAGTAATTCCTGGCTTATGAGCAATATTTATTTATGTTCCCTTCTTTAAAGGGCTACCATGTTCAGTATTTCTGCTTCCAATCATGTTTAAAATTTTTTCTAACTTCTATATAAAAACCACATACTAAAAACCAGCATCATTAAAAGTATAGTTTCCTGGGAATTAGGAGACCCAGCTCTGTAATTACCCATCCCCTGTGGGATCTTGGACGCACATAACTTCATGAGTTCTTCCTGAAAATAAGAGGGCTGGCTACCCAGTTAATCTCTTGATTCTTTATTTCAGACTGGCTGGCATTACTTGATTTATCCATATTTAAATATAAAACTTTTTAACGTATTATTCACCAAAGGAAAGAATAAAAGCTCCAAGTTCCTTGGATTTCCAAAATAAATATCATCAACACTCATCCATGTGATGCTTTTTCAAAAGATCAGCAATTCAATCCCTCCATATTAACAGCAATGACAATGAGGCTAATTGATAGTAACTTAGCCCAAATCATGTACATATTAATCTACTTAGTGTGAGGTAAATAGAACAAATACTTTTTATCCTAGTTTTTCAATGTGAGCAAAAGAGAATAAATAACTTCCAAGGACATCCCTGAAAATAACAGGGATAGAACGAAAATTCAGAATTCAGGGCTCATTTACGGCTATCATAAGAGAAATTCAATATAACGTATATTTAAATCTCACAATTGTTTTTTTACTGCAAGCCCCTTGAAGGTGGATTGTCTGTCAGCTTTGTTCACTAAAGTATCCCAAGTTCCCAGATCATGGCCTGGTAAAAAGTAGGCCTTTACCTAATATTTGCTGGGACTACAGACACCTGCCACCATGCCCAGCTGATTTTTGTATTTTTAGTAGAGATGGGGTTTCACTATGTTGGCCAGGCTGGTCTCCAACCCGACCTCTCGATCTGCCCACCTCAGCCTCCCAAAGTGCTGGGAATTACAGGCCTGAGCCACGGCGCCCTGTTGCATGTTCTGAAAACATTACTGTCAATTTGTATTCTACCTACAACTACTACCTCGGGTTCTACATTCATAAGAAATAAGTGTTTACCCTAAATCTTTCCTATTCAGTTATTGACAGTCATATAAGATCCATAGAGAATTACATTTATGATAAATGGATATGTTCTCAAGCATATAAGAGAGGATGAAGATTCAGATAATGCTTTTTCCCAAAATTTTAGCTCATAAATATTTCATAAGGTAAGAAAAACAGAAAAAATACAAATCAACACTAGAGGTACTGTTGTACCTCCAGTAGTAGTAGTAGCCATTTTTGGCTTCATTCTTACAGAAATCAACAATGATATGCATCATTTACAATCCTAAATTGACAAAAAACTAACAACAAAACCAGCCAGCTAAAGTCAGGTGTTTACCAATCAGCAAAAGTAAATCAGGTAATAGTTTCATTTTGTCTTTGCTCACTTTTTGTTAATATTTGAAGATCTTCAACAGATGGCGGTCCATTTTTTTTCTCATAAGGAATGACTGTAGTCAAATACTGCCAAGTTAAAAAAACAAAACAATATGTCACTTAAACCTGCATTTCCTTATCTGCAAAACATTTGATACTGTTACGAGAAGGTCTATTTCATAATATAAAACACGAGCTACTTTGGTAATGAAAACACAGGTAATGTATGAGAATAAAGGTATCTTACTATCTCAGATGGAGCTCATTTTTTTTTTTTTGGCCCATCTCTATTTGCTTGATACAAACCTACTGTCAACAGAAATAACCATTTTTTTGCATTTCAATTACTGAAAATTTCAGAGGACTAAGTCTGCAGATGATTTACTCAATGTGTTCATTTTTAAAATGAAGTATTATCTCACATTCTCCTTGCATATTTTTCAACACATTATAAAAATAGCAACTTAAACTAAAAACAGTTTTAATTGTTCTGCACAATAAAGTAATTTCCAACAGCAAAACAATTCTGTTTCAGACCTTCTTTATTCTGGTTGAACAAACGGGCCACATACATAACATGACAACTTTTAAAAACACACTAACTTCTTTCAGACATTTAACAAAGACACACTGAAATAGTTTTAGAAATGCATTATTACTATTATTTTAAATTATTGGATAAGTCTTTATAAACATTTTTAGGTATTAAAGGAGAAAAGTGAAAGTAGAGAATGGCCTAAGGGGAAATGAATAGTGAAAATTAACGTCTGAAATGGAGACAAACTGCCTATTCACTACTTGTAAAGGCTCACAAGTAACAGAGCCATGTCTTCTAACTAATCCCATGAAAGCATAATCCATAAATGATTATCCAGATTCTCCTATTCTTACCATCCCACCAAAAAAATGGGGAGTTCCGTGCATTTCACATATGTTCATACAGAAAGCCAGTGGTTTTTACTTGGAATCTCTTTAGCTCCACCCATTATTTAACCTGGTGCCCTAAATCTCAGCTCTATGGCTAATCCTCATTGAGTGATCTTATCCTGCCTATAATTGAAAAACAAGATAAAGAAAGCTGCTTTACAATAACTGGATCCCTAAGTCCAGAAAAGTGATAAAATTGCATTGTTCAATCTTTAAGACACGTAAGTGTTCCACCGTCTTTTTGATGTAGACTTCTCGCAGGTGATGCGCAATTGTATAATCGAATGTTTCTTTGTAAGAACAACCAAAAAAAAGGCCATAAATTATGCCCTCCTGGCTTCATTCATAGCAAGTGTCAGGCACCCTGGAGAGGCACCAGGAGGCTGCACCCTGGCCTGCTCTCTGGCTACCTGGCTGCATTGTCAGGCCTCCCTGCTCCACTCACAGTTTGGAAGTTTCCTTGCCCTCTCATGAGGTTGAGAGAGGTGAGATGCACCAGAATGGAAACAAAAATTCAAGCATCCCTTCATGGAGCTGCAAATGTCAGTGTGAACCTTCCCTCTTTAATAGCAATGACTTATGAAACACATAGCAATGACTTCAGAAAAACTCCAGGCACTTGATCTAGGCATTCTTTTGCTAAACTTCCTATAAGCTACATTTTGTATCCTTCTTAATATGCATGGAAGAGCTAACTTTAGTTTTCTTTTTTAAGGTGAAAATTTCAAACAGTGAAAGGTAAGTTTAAGCACACCCATTAATGTGAATATTTCCCATGCTCGTGATATTCCTTCAATCATTATATAAAAATGTCAGCAAACAGCAAATTGCTAGAAACTTCATTGTATATTCATATTTATGTATAATTTTGTATAAATAATGTCTCAGGCTCATTTTGCTGACAACCAAGTTGGCTGACTAGGCAATACACCTTAAAAACACATGAATTTCATTTAAAGGAGGTAAGATATACTCTCTATATATTTTTGACCTAGAACTCTAGTGTCAAACATACCAACAACTGGCCTTACCCCAAAAATGACATCTTGCTTAGACTTTTAGAATTAGAGTCACATATTTTAGTTCAGTTATTTTCATAAGCACATTTTCTACACATGCAATACATTATGTTAAAATGTTAATGTCTATTTGTTTAAAACTAAGAGTGAGAAATGGAGCTCTTAAATATGTCTTAAGAATGCATTTAATCTAATGTCCAATTTGAAAAAACGCTTTTTCCTCAAAGGGAAATTCTGTTCATTATCAAGACTATAAATATAATGAACTTTTATAATGAACTTTGATTTCTCTCTTTTAAGCAATGGTCTTAGTAAATTAGTAAAACTACCAGCTTTCAGGATCTTCACTTACACAGAAAATGAAAAAGCAGAGAATGAGGAAAATAAGGATAACCGAGCACCTGTTTCTCTCCACCTGAATTTCCAAAGGTGTGGCGGAGGCCATTCTGAATGACATTTGAGATCCCTTCCATGCTGAAGCGCTAAAAGCGGCAATATACGGCCCAGAAGAAAAGGACAGAGAAAGAAGTTCAAAGTCTATTAGTAAAGAGGTACCATGATGACTTCTGTGCCCAAGAGGCAAGCAGTTAGAAAACGCCACTACTCATCCAGATAAAGCACACAAAATCATGCTATTTTAAAAACGCTGTTGCTTCCATTTCTTTGAAAGTCAAATGCAAAAGCAACTGTTTGAATGCTACTATATTCATGCAGGCATTTTTCTGACGTAGCTGATAAATAAAATTCTCCAATGTAAATATAGTCAGCTGTACACGTATTTGTGTTATATAAAATTTACTCTATAATTTTTATGATACTTTTTGATATTTACCTACATTTTATCAAAAGTCTGAAAACTTAATTTGAACAGTATGCACATTTTCAGCCTAAGTTTGTATAATTCTACTATCAGTTTGGAGAACATTAACATAACATTTAGCAAATGAAAATGCTGTTACTTGGAGAGCTGATGATTGCTTCCCACTCACTCTTCAGGACACCTGCCACTGCCTTGGTGCAGAAATTCGAACTAGAAGGTGGCATATGCTTCCTGGAGAGCAGAGGGGATTCCGTGCGCCAGCTAGGCCCCCAAAAACTTCTCCAAAGACTTTTCCACTCCGTTTCTAGGAAACAATTCTAGTTTCTTTCTCCCAGCAACCTCCAAGACTTCCTAGAATTCTTTGCACTAAAAAGGGAATATTTTTTTCCTGAACTACTTATCTTGATTTGTAACCAGTCTACAATGTCATCAGGCATAGTAAAAAAAAGTCTGGTGGCACCTCTATGGCGGCTGAGTCAAAGGAGTGAGATGGATTCTTACAGCATGACTAATTAAGGGGAAAGGCATTGTGAAAAGGAAGTGAAGGCCTGAAGGCAAGATAAAAAGTTTCAGAATCCACATATCTGGAAACTGAGACACACTTTATATTTGGACAGCACATTCTAAAAACACTAGCTTTACCTTCCCAATCTGAAAGCCAATTCCTGTCACTAGAAAAAAACAAGTGACAGGAATTGGTTCCTTCCCCTGGAATTTTATAGAGGAAATTTAAATCAGTAAACACATTTGAGGAGTCAACATAAAGAATATTTTACCAGACCCCAAGGAACAGAAGAAAAGATACCAAGGAAATGGTCATCAAGAAATATATATGGTTTCATCCAGTGGTTCTCAGAGTATAGTCCAGTGACCCCCTCCCACCCAGCTCCTTCCAAGAGGTCCCTGAAATCCTCTCAGGAGTTCATGAGTGCAAAAATGTTTTCTTACTACTACTAAAATATAAGTTGTCTTTTTAACTCTCATCTCTCATGACTTATAGTGAACTACTCCAAATGACAGACTGCAGAAGCACATGTATGAATCGGTCTTTAACCAAGCCAGATGTTAATGAGATTGATAAAAATGCACAGCAATGATATTTTTTCATGATTTCATAAAATATTATTTTTCATGAAAATATGCTATTTATAATGAATTTATTTTGGGTATTTTTCATGAATTTATATTTTATTTGTAATATAGCAAATATTAAGCTTCTTGGGCCCTCAATAAATTTTAAGAGTATAAAGAAGTCTTGATAACAAAAAGCTAAGAAATTCCAACAGGTCGAATCCTTGAAAGAGCTCTGTGCTTCTGTATCAGTCATGTAACTCTACGGAGTTAATGAAAATCTGAGTTCCAAATTTTACCCCCTTATAGGAGACTGTACGAATATGCCTCTCCTCCTAAACCATCATCTTCCCTACCTTGCCTTTTCCAGATCTGCAAGCCAGTTTTGTTTCAGCAAGAATCAAATGTCTAGTCACGATCACTTCCCTGACTATTCTTCACTTCACTGAAAGCATAACTATTATCTCTGATGGAGGAGGCTAATTATAAAATAAAAACCTACAGATAACTATTTTTGTAAATTTTTCCAATGCTACCATAATTCATTCACATTTTTTAAACAGATTATCAAATGAGATAACATCTTAGGCTTCAGAGTATATAATAACAATTATGGGAAACTATTTTCAAATAACCAAGTCAGTTGATTTTTTAAAAATTATTTCCATAAAGTGTATTTTCTTTCAAATGTGACAAAAGTACTTGTTTTTAAGTATTTGGTTTATATTACCTGGCTCCATTGTCTATGGGTATGTTAAAACGAGATACAAATTCATAAAATCTAAAGCAAGATAAAAAGTTTCAGAATCCACATATCTGGAAACTGAGACACACTTTATATTTGGACAGCACATTCTAAAAACACTAGCTTTACCTTCCCAATCTGAAAGCCAATTCCTGTCACTAGAAAAAAACAAAAGTTGATGCAGTTTCAATTTCATCAGAGACATATATAATTTAGATTTTCTTTATTAAATGTGTGGTTGCAGATATAGTCATCTCAACTGCTGAGAATCTGACCACTTGTGGAAGACAGCTTTTGTGCCACCAGATTTCTAGGCTTAGGGGAAATTAGTGAAAATGCAACCAAGGGAAGGAAGTCAAGGTAACTTGGAAAAATGCAAAACTAACAGCTGATGCCAGTGAAAGAAGGTAAAGTAAGGAACGCAGCAGAACCTCTGTCCTTGCTGCTGATGGCTGCTGAGTCAGTGGCTGCAGCCAACAAGGCCCTACTGTCCCCAGCCCTTTCACTGGCAGTGAACCAGGGAAGCAACGTGCAGCCTGTACAGTTCTATCGCCTCGATCCGTTGGAAACTTACAGAACAAGGAAATCAGAAGGTTTTACACGAAAAAAAATAAATAAAACTAAAAGCTATGCCTGAGAACATCCTTCCACCAAACGCTCCAGTTCATCAACTCCCAGTCCCCAGAAGTCACGCAGCACCAATGTTCTCCCTCCAACGCATTTTCAAACCCTCCCTCTCTGCTAGCTCCTTCCCGACTGCAGAAATTCTCAAACCCTCAACCTATTTCCTCTCCCCACGGTTTCCTGAAACAGCTCTTCCCAACATCATTTCTTTGATGTGGAAGACCACAGCCACTTTTCAGATCTCTGAGACGTCCGGGAATCCCTCCTCCCTGAACCGCTTCCCTGGATTCAGAGACCCCACACTCTCCCAGATCTCCCTCACCCAACCCTCCTGCTGTCTAGTTGCTTCTTCAAAGAGGGGCCACTTTCTTCTCTTGTCCCTTAAACACAAGTGTTCCCCAGGATCTTGTGCCTGTTTCTTGACTCACCTTTTAGATATCACTGTGCCTCTGGATTCTCTCCCTATTTAATTCTCATGCATCCCCTCTGGACATTACTACTCAATAGCTTCGGTTTCTGCTTCCATAAATTGATAGCTCCACTTTACTAAGATCAGTAAAGTGCTCAGAACAGAGACTGGCACATGGCAAAGCTCAGTAAATGTTAGCAATCTTTACCGTAAATTTCCCTGAGCTTCACTTTGCATGTTTAATGGCCTATTGACAAGCCTGTGTTCCTGTCTATAGTTAGTATCAATATTTCTAAAACTCATATCCGAAACAAATTCAACATCCTCTTCCCCACCAAAAGACAGACAAAAAACCTTTCTTAAACTGGGTCCTCTTTCAGCATTTTATTGTCTCTCATTCATTTCCTCATTCTTTCAAAAAATACCATTCCAGATATTAGAAATTCAGAGTGAACACATTAGCCAAGGCCCTTCCTCAACTCCTGACCTTACATTCCAGCATAAGGGGGCACAAAAAGTACAACACATAAATGAACTGAATGCTGCAGATAACTCACACATGCCCCATCCCTAGCTCCAACAAGATGATTAAAAACTGGTCAAGAGATCGAGACCATCCTGGTCAACATGGTGAAACCCCGTCTCTACTAAAAATACAAAAAATGAGCTGGGCATGGTGGCGTGTGCCTGTAATCCCAGCTACTCGGGAGGCTGAGGCAGGAGAATTGCCTGAACCCAGGAGGCGGAGGTTGCGGTGAGCCGAGATCACACCATTGCGCTCCAGCCTGGGTAACAAGAGCGAAACTCCGTCTCCAAAACAAAACAAAACAGAAAACTGGATGCCTGCTTTCTTCCCGGAAGTCAAAGAAAAGCTCTCTGAGGAGGTGACACCTGAGCTGAAATATGACTTAGACATCCATCCCAGAGGAGCCACAAAGGACAATGGACAACAGAGATCTTTGCAAAGAACAAAACCAAAAGCCGTAACCTGGCCAACCTCAGAGTTCACGCCACAGCTAGCATGCAGAAGTCTTAAAATTGTCATTCAACAGGATGGAACGCAATGTCTATGGAGTATGTCCATTCTCTCCTCTTCTTAGTAAGATTTTATTGCAGAAACCCTGTCTTCTCTCCTCCATTGTGTGCCAGTGTGTTGCAATGGCTGGCTTAACTTTCAGACCATAGGTTTTGTCCAGAGCTGATGGAAAAGACAGACATCCCCCCATTTGCTGGGCTTGAAGCTAGAAGCAGTCACTGAGGACAACACTTACATACCTCGCTTTGGGGAAGGGGCATATGTGCTTTATCTATGCTTGCCCTAGTCAATAATCAACGACCTAATCCTAACTCCTTCCTTCTTCGGTGCCCCAACCATTCAACCTCATCAGTATCTCTGAAATTCAACTATTTATATTTCCATCCCTACTCTCACTTTCCTGGCTCAATCCTTATGTGAAATGGCTGCGACCACCTCCTAATCAACTTAACTCCAGTTGCCTCCTGCCAATTAGTTCCCCTTGAAACCACTGAAGAACTCTTCCAAAAAAGACAAACCCAAACATGTAACTACCCAGGCTAAAACCCATTTTTAGTTTTCTACAGCCTTTAAACAAAAACCAAGTGCCTCAGAATGTTGTACACTGCCATCTATTTTCCCGCTTCCACTCTCCAATTTCCGTAGCCTCTTCTTGAGTTTCTTGCTCCCTCACCTCCTAGCTTACACCATCATGAGCAGCCTGCACTTCCCCAGATGTCCCTAACTGTTACCTCCAAGTGTTTGCACACACCACCTTCTACCTGACCTCAGGGTGCA